AAGCCAAATCTAAGGCTGCTCCTTCTACAGCCAAGTCTTCCATGACGACCTATCGTCCTTTGGAAGATCCTCAAGCAGGAATCGATCAGAACTACAGAGCTGAGAGAGGACCGATTCCATCCGATGGCTGGGGCCACATCCAGTACATCGAGGGTAGAGATGTCTACCACGATCAGTACAACTGTACTGAGAGACAACAGATCACCTCCGCAACTATGCACAAACGTAGGTGCAGAAGGTGTTATGAGACCGCCAAGTCCCATGGAGCCGGACTTTATGCGCCGCCACCACCTTTACCAGAAGGTGCAGCACCGCGCACAACACCAGCCAAAATATTGGCCAGTCCAAAGCTCCAGGGACCGCCACCAAAGGTGAGCTCTGTTGCGCAACCTGCAGAGACCCCGATGACACCGGGTGAGCAGGTCCGTGCCAAGGGTCTTGCCGTACTAACGGCCATGGATCCTGAACGTGAGCCAGAGCCGAAGTCAAGCTCAGCCCACGATACAAGAGCAGACATGCCAACTATTCAGCAAACTATTGCTGAATCGCAACACAGGCGACACACCGACCGAATGTTAAATCGGCTTCGCGATAATAATCGCCATGTGCCTCCCAGAGGAACACGAATTCCTGCTGCTAATTATCTCGATGAAGAAAGAGTCAAAAATGCCTACAACGTGCTTTTCAGCCTGGCAGACTCTCATAACGTTCCGGTCACCTCAATATCGACCATCAATGAAGCCCTTCTGTTTGGGCATGAGGCGGTCCGATTCTATGAGGATGCCCTACTAAGGGTCGACCAACATCTTCACGAGAGAACAGAGCTGCAGGAACTCCTGCACGAAGCTCGTTGCGAAGTTGAATCTTTGACTGATCAACGACGCCAACAAGACGAACATAACTTAGCCATGACTCTCCAGATCCAAGAACTTGGACGAGAGAATCACGAACTATCGTGCAACAATGGCTATGAGCAGGACTACCGGCGCAGCCTCGAAGACACGGTACGAGAACTGGACGAAAAGTACCGTATGGAGACAGCCTCTCTTGTAAGGCAAAAAGACGCGGCCTACCGCGCACGCGACAATGCTATTGAAAAATTTACAATAGAGCGTCGAGGATACCAAGACGAGGCTAATGGCCTAAGAGCCAATTTGCGTCTTGCGGAAGCACAGCGAGATGCATGGCAGGAGAATCATGACGAACTATCGTCTTCATCCCTGACCATCCGACCGGATGTCCTACTAAGCGTTCAGAACCGGGTTGACGTTCTTCGCTTAGAAAACGAAAACCTAAGGAACTCGCTCAGAAGAGCTGAGTTGGATCTCGAGCAAACAACAGAGATCGTGAACCTCCGAAGGCGGGAGTATAATAGCCTCAGTGGTGAATACCAAACGGTATGCCTGAGGATGGCGCAGACAGAAAGCGCAATAGCGTTTGCCTCAGAACAGCTTGCCGCTGAAGAGGAAGATGCGCGCAATAATGCCCGCAGTAGCGGCAGCAACCGCAGCCAACGTGACCGACTACGGTCCTCCTCAGGAACACAAACAAACGACCCAGACCAAGACACGCAGTCTGAAAGTCAGAACAGCTTCTTGCTGGTGGGTCAAGGACATACCGTTCTGGCAACATCTTCCACAATTCGTGAAGAATTGGAAGAGCCGGACGAGGAGGCACTGGAAGAGGTGTAATCCGTACTAATGGAAAACTAACACCTCTGGAGTTGAAGCCGAACTATCGGTATCCTCCTAGCTGACGGTTACCGAAATATCGGTCGTGATCAGCATCTCACTCTGAGCGCAGTAACTAGTACTAAATAGTGAAGTCGCCAGTGGGAAACTTTTAATTTTGTTGGACCCAGGACACATTACCACAGCAAATTAAGCACAACGTGAATAGAATATTTATCTAACATAAATGTGCCCTGGTAATCCACAGAATGGAGTGACACGCAACCTGCGACTGTGTACAGCCGACCGCAGGACCTCTGCGTACTCCGAGAAACGCTTACAGAGCGAAAGGGCTTAGCCAAGCATACATCCTAATAAGGGCCTCTATATATACACCCTTAATAAAGGACAGGACTGTA